GTGGTGGTCTGATCATGATTTGTGTGTCAGTGCATTCTACTCCATAAACGCTCACGCCAAAATACATGTGTTAGTCTTTAAGATGCTATAAGTCTCTTTGTTGCTTTTGCCTCAACAAACGGACGCAGCTAACACGCTGGAAGCTGCATTTTATGGAATGACTTGACCGGAGCTGAAGGGAGGTCACTTGGCACAAAGTGATCACACAGATTAAAGGCCTGACATGGCCAAAGTGTTTGAGTTTCAGCCAAAAGACTCAAAGGAGCATTGCTAGCAACACTCACATTGTTAGCCTTAAGCTTCTGCGGGCAGGCCCTGAAATGTGGTTTGCCCATTCATATATGTATATTATATATATGTTTGCTTTTATAGATGTTCACAACATGTACACACATTCTCATATTTGCATCAACAAGCATTCCAAGAAGAAGCCTTGGACATACATACACATGCATGTACATTGCTATTCTGTTTGAGATGTTTAGGGCAGCCTTCCCCAACCTGGTACCCTCCAGAAGTGGTGGGCTGCAACTCCAAGAATCCCCTAGCCGGAAGGCACTAGGTTGGGGAAGGCAGATCTAGGGATGTGCTCATATTCCATTTCACAGTTCTGAATGAATCGAAAAGAGACAAATCCCCTAAATGCCCAGTCAGAGGTAGAAGGAGACAAGAGCTCATACTGTAAAGAAAGATTGGTATACTTCTTTTTCATTGTTAAATGTATGATTTCTTGAGCTTCCAGGAAAAAATCAAGATATGAATGTTTTAAAAATAAAACACTGGTAGGAGCAGTAGTATGAGTCCTGTTCTGACTTGATGAAGAATAAATTCTTTCACCTGGGAAGCAAAATGATAACATTAGGAGCCCAGGCACTTCCTTAGCAAGTGTTTCCCCGTGTCCTACAGATGGGCAGATCTGGAGACGTGGTTTGAGGTCATCTGCAATTCCTGTTTCTTTCCTCCTGTGAGGATGCATGCTCTGAGACCCCAATACACTGCAGTCTCCTCAGTCTTTCGCAGTTGGGATTCACAGCAACGGTCAGCTTTACAAGACATGACCCAGTGGCCCTCCTGCTCCCTGGCACCACCCCCAAACCCGTTGGTGGTAGACAGCTGTATGAGAAGAGCGTGCCGCATGCAGAAGGGACCTGTGGAATGGTTCTTAGGTCTTTTCGAGAGCTTTTTCATCTCATCCTCCCTGAGGTACCATGGAACCCAGGAAACCATGTCTTCTTTCTGTCAGTAGGAAGCTGGGGCAGTGCCTGTCCACTGGACCCTCAACTAGGAAATGGGCGAACCACACAGAGGAGATATGCATGCTCCCATGCCACCCTCTTTTCTCCCTTCCACTAAAGAAGTCCCAGCAGGCCTCCCACAAACGAAAAGGATGCTCCACCTAAGTAGTCATAACATGGCAACAACTGTCGATATCATTGGCCAGATATGAAATAAATATTTCATTTATTTCAAATATGAAATAAATATAAAATATATTTTATATTTATATTTTAATTTATATTATAATTATTTTAATTTATTGATGTGAGCCACCCCGAGGCTTCGGCGAATGGGGCGGCATAAAAATGTTTTAATAAATAAATAAATAAAAATACTATAGAAGGCAACGCCTTTGATTAGATCAATGTGAGTTTCTCATAAAGTTAAAGTAAATGGACCCTCACTGCCAGAGTAGCTGTTGCTTGGTTAGGTTGCTTGGTTAGGATGAGAGGTTGTTACCTCAAAACTGGTCACCCATGTACACTACTAAGTGATGACAAGCTCCTACGGTCACATCAATAAGCCACTTTGCTTCTCCTTCTTCTACTAGAAAGAGCTCCAACTTGGTTTATTTGAGAGGAGAAATTCAAGGCTACCTGGCATCAGGGGTAGGTAGGTTGGGCACATGCCAAGGACAAATTCCAGCAGGATGAGAACTCCTCTTCCACACTTTAACCAGCTTGTTCACTCGACTCCTGATCTGGCCCAGAAATCACTGCAGTGTCACTGCCTATTGACAGTGGCTCGCACCAATTAAGCAGGCAAGGAGGAGGAAGAGCTGCAACAGCAGCTAGGGAGGATGCTGATGAGAAGGTAGACTCACTGAGGGAGGGGATCTGTTGAAGATTCTCTTCCCCAAGGGTCCTCCAAACTTTGAAAGTGGCACTGTTGGGCCTTATCCCAAGTTGCTGACCATCTTTGCTTTGCTCAGCTTCCAATTTGTACCCCTTTGAGTATGCAAACAAAAGGCTGAAGTGAACACATAGGGACTGATAGATCTTAAGCAGACACTGGAGTCTCTGAGGTGGGAAAAATGATTAGGCCAGTCCCCGGAGACACTGGCAAGCAAGCTGCCCCACTCCTGCTGGGAGGAGGGGGCAAAACTGGGAGCAGGAGTTGCCAAGGAACTGTTGTTCCAGTGCAGGGTTTGATGGTCACCATCTACTTGGTGTGGGAAAGCCTGAGGCCCCTCCCTTCCCTTTGATCTGAAAGCTGCTGTTGTTGTTGGGACCACAAGGAACTGGCGGTGCCAGGAAGGACCTCCATGGACAAAAGCACCATTTTTATCCTCTGCAGAGTGTTATCGCTTGTTGTCAGCAGCACGCCCTATCTGGTGTTTGGGCTTCCAGATGAGGCTGAATGCTTCCAATCAGACCTGGTTTTAGCACTGTTCTGGGGGTGGCTCAGGGCGGGGCTTTGTTCTCCTTATAGGTATCAAGCATGTTGCCTTGTCCCTTGTTTTTAATTCTCTCTGGTGTAGAGAAATTGAGACTATGTCTTTCTGTCTGTCTGGGGCTTGGGGCAGCATTGGACTCATTTGGACGGAGAAATCAAGCAGTATGGGTCAAGATAGCTCCGTATCATTTATTTGACAGAATTTTCCCTACTTGGCACAGCACTGAACTGTACAGGAGAGAGCGTTTAATGAGGAGTGCAGCTCCCTCTTTTGGCTATGTCTTAACACTACAATCTGTTGCAAACTTCCTGAACAGGTGACTGGTTCCTTGGGTGCATTTCCATCCCCTTTGGTCCTGCTACTGGGTGGGTTCTCTATAGCTGTCATTTGCATTAAAAAAAAAAAAACCTGTACAGCCGGACCATTGTGATCTCATGAGGTTGGAAAATAGAAGGAAGAAAGGAAGGAAGGAAGGAAAGAAGGAAGGATGCATGGATGGATGGAAGGAGATCCATTGAATGCTCCATTACTGAGACACTGAAGGAAATCCAGCATTTTTTACCACTTACCTTTCTGTTCTTTCCACTGCTCTTTGGGAAACAACATCTTTTCCCTTTTCTATACTGTATAATTTCAGTTTAATCAGGTGGCTGTAGCACAAGGGCTAAGAGATTGGGCTCCATATTCAGATGCCCCTGCTTTAATTTTGTCTTTACCATGAACTCATTAAATAGCCTTAGGCAAGCCGCTCGCTTTCAGCCAGAGTGCAGACATGTACACACTGCAGTTTAGAGGGAAATACTTTAAAATGAAGGCATAGCTCTGTAGCAGAGCAGCACCTGCTTTCCATGCCAGAGGTCTCAGGTTCAATTCCTTGCATCTCCAGTCTAGGAAAGGCCTTTTCCTCTTGCCAGTGAGTATAGACAATGCTGAATTAGATGGACTAATGCAGCAAGGCCATGAACATGAAGAACTTTGAACACTTGAAAACTCTATAAATGCTCCTCCATGTTAAATTAATCATTCGTGATTCCAAGCAGCAATCATTAAGAGATTATGCAAATTTCTAATTGGGTAGTTTATACTCTCCATTTCACATATAACTGTGTATGTTGAAAGGGCAAAAGAAATAATTCCCTCACTCTATGAATAAGGAGGAATTCTGCATACTAAAAAGACAGTTTAGATGATGTCAAGTATGTTTTCTTAGACCAGCCTCCTGCAACCTGATGTCCTCCAGAATTGTTGTACTACAGCAATCATAATCCCCAGCCAACATGGTTGTCCTGGGTGGGAATAATGAGGCTTGTAGTCCACCACAGCTGAAATGTGCTAGATTAAGGAAGGTTGCTTTAGACTGTGCATACAGTAGACAGAGACCATGTTTTGAATTCCCTCCCAAAAGCTGATGGCAGGTTCCAGAAGCTCTAGTTTTCCAGGAACAAACTTGGGTTTAGTTAACTGGTAGCTAACATTATTCACCTGTGGAATTCAGTATTGCAGGATATGGAGATTATCACTGGCATAAATTAATTTAGAAGAGGAGATAGGTCTTGAAGGATGGATCTCTGAATTGTGTTTAGTCACGGTAGCTTAAATGGAAACTCCAGATGGAGAGGCCATTGGTAAAGCAATTCAACAGATGAATACTCAGGGGAAAGTATACCTGCACGTCCCAAGGGTTCAGGTGGACAACAAGGGAATGCCATTGCCTTCACTCCTTGAGTGCTAGTTTCCCAAATGAACCAGGCTGACCACTGTCAGAAACAGTGCACTGAATCACATGGTGTCTGATCAGATCTAGCAAGGCTTTTCCGGGGTTTGGATGGGCTGGGCTGGGCTGGGCTGCACTGTGAGTAGAGGGATCTGCGCCTCGCCTAGGGCCTCTTGCGCTAGATCGGTGTGCAGGCAAGAGAAGTGGGGAGAACAGAAGCCTCCTTTGTGCTGACTTCTCTTCTGCCTGTTTTGTATGTGTTGCAGCTGCCAGCTTCCCTACAGCCTGACCCAAGACTATTCATCTGGGAAGGCAGGGGGTAGCGGAGCTATTAGCATAATCAAACTCTCCGCCCCTGCGTGCTTTTTCCTCCCGCTGGGGAAGGGGAATGACTTAAAGCAGGAGAAGTACAAGTGTCCCGATTTGCAGTGGGGTTTGCACATGATCCTTTGGCGCATTATCCTGCTGTTGCCTTTCTTAGACCCCTTTATTAGGGTATTGGTTCAACATTTGGAAGATCTTAGAATAGAGATCCAGAAGACACAGACAGGGGAACCGAGTCCCCGCCCCACACACCCTTTCCATCCCTTCTTCAGTGTCCTCTCTTGACAGAACGGTGCTGTGCCTGGTGAGACGGGTAAGCGAGATGAGAACATCAAGCGTGGCAACTGGGGCAACCAGATCGAGTTTGTTCTCACGAGCGTTGGGTACGCCGTCGGACTTGGCAATGTGTGGCGCTTCCCTTACCTCTGCTATCGCAATGGGGGAGGTGAGTATCGAGGGGCGAGGCGGGTGCGTTTAGCACGGGGGGCCTGAGTTTCGCAAAGGTGCGCCATGTTAGAAGCCGTGGGGTAGGTGCTGGCTAACTCCCTCAGCCAGTGTAGCACCCCGAGTTGTCCCAGGAGGGGAGGGCGAGTACCGTTTCTGCTGCTGCACTCTGAGCATACTAAGATTCAGTTTCGCTTCTTGCGCCAGCCTCGGGATGCATGTGTCAGCCTGTATTTTGCATATACAGTTAGCATAGAGCTCCCCCTTCAGGAAAGGACTAGGATCACAAGCTGGGAAACGTATTCGCCATCCAGTATGTGATTCCCAGAGCATCCCTACGCATCGTAATGGGCTTGAAGTTCCACTGCTACTTATATTCAGCACAGGACACTTCCCCCTACTGAGCCAGTCGGTTTGTCCATGTAGCCCAGGACTGTCTGACCTGGTCTCAGGCAGGGCTCTCTCCTGCCATGCCTCACCCTCATTCATTTTAGCTGCAGTTGCTGGAGCTCAATGCCGGGCATTTGTTGTACTGCTGAGCTTTGTTCCCTCCCTAGTGCTCGTCATTCCTCTTCTCCTGTCCTCCAGGTGCTTTCATGTTCCCCTATTTCATCATGCTGGTTTTCTGTGGGATCCCCCTCTTCTTCATGGAGCTCTCGTTTGGACAGTTTGCCAGCCAGGGCTGCCTCGGCGTCTGGAGGGTTAGCCCCATGTTCAAAGGTGAGAGGCGGCAGGCAAGGTACCCCCCCCCCCACCGTTAGGGCCACAAACACACTCCTTATCTGTGTCCACTTGTTCCTCGTGGTGTAGTGGAGCCAGAGCTAGCAACACAGGCACAGTTTGGTTAGCACTGACACTGACACTGCCCACCTCCCCCACCCTCAGAATTCCTTGTTCCATCTGAATTTAGAGGCACTCTTTGCAGCAGCTGTGAAAAATGGATTTTCCCAATAACAGCATACTGCTGTGAGCTATCCTGTTGTAATGCCGAGTATTTTGGAGTGGCATGGCGTTGAAAGGGCAACTAAGACCCATTCACTTTCCGAAACACTTGCTGCTGCTGGAGATAAAACTTTAGAAGTGGTGGTTGATATGTGTCAACATGGCTTCCTGAAGTTTTGGAATTTCCTTGGGGGTGTGGCCATCGGGACTGTGACAATGAGTGCCTCCATTTACCACTGAGGGTGAATCCTACCACTGGTCTGAGTGAGACAGCTACTCAGATGCCAAGTGGTGGCAAGGTGCTGGAGGATGGGGAGGTGTGTGCCACCTGGTCCGCACCACACTCCCTACACGAGCCTCCTTCCTTCTTTCCTGGCACCAGTTGACTTCAAGGCAGGGAATGTGTATTGGAGCAGGATGGTGAGAGCCTTATCCTTCACCTCAGGCAGCAAAATGCTTGGACCTGCCCTGAATTGAAGACCCTCGTCTTCAGATATGGACACACCTGTACATAGGCATTGTTAGGTAAAGGTAATGCCTGTGAAGGATTGGTGGCAGAATCCATATTTGCATTTTCATGAACCAGAGTTGTTAGGAATAAGACCTTTAAAAACAAAGAGACAACAGTATTTTCAGGCTGAAAATCTTTGGTACTTCTGGACAAGAGGGATTTGAAAGTAAAATACAGAACAGATCAAATACAGCTTCTCACTGCCTTTTTGTCACACTTACTCTTGCCAGATGCACACGCATGGGACAGTGGCACTTGACTTGGGGTGCTTGCAGTCCCTCTGCCCTTCCCCCATCGGTGCACTTTTATTTTCTTTATTCAAGAACCAGAGAGCAACATGCTATGTGAGAGGGATGGCAGGAATACAGAGCTCATTCTGCCATGAACAGACCCATAGGCCTTCCTGTTTGAGTCCAGGTACGGCACAAACCAAAGCTGCGTGTGCCATTTGTGACACTGGTCACTGTGCTTGCATACTTCATGTATTCTATACAGCTGAAAGTACCTATACTAAAAACCATAGAGGTTTTTTTTCCTTTCTAGTGGTCCTCACAGTTTGCTTTCCCTCCAGGTGTTGGGTATGGTATGATGGTTGTGTCCAGCTACATTGGAATCTACTACAATGTTGTGATCTGCATTGCCTTCTATTATTTCTTCTCATCGATGACACGGGTGCTACCCTGGACATACTGCAACAACTACTGGAATACAGCAAATTGCACTGGGGTTTTGGACTTTACCAATGGTTCAGCTGGCTCATCACTCAACCTCACACAGAGCTTCAACCAGACGCTCAAGCGCACCAGCCCCAGTGAGGAGTACTGGAGGTGATAATGGAGGGGTGCAAATGGGTATGGGATGAAGCAGGAACTAACTTATTAGCGGGGACAGTGGGCTTGACTCACAGATGATCACCTAGACGGGGTGGACAACTTGTGTCCCTCCAAATGTTTTGGTCGACAACATCATTGTTTGTGCTGGCTATGACCAATGAGAATTGTAGGGCGAATCCTCTGTAGGGATGCAAGTTACCTACTCCTGTCCTAAGAGGAGGCACTCTAACTTGACTATGGAAGATTGAGAACATGACCCTGGTTTATTCCATCTCTAACTTCTTAGGAATGTTCCTCCAGCCCTCAGTGCCTGAGATCACCAGGTGCTTTGGAGGTGGATAGTGTCACTGAATAAGATTGTGTGCTAAAAAGAGACTGTACCACATGGCCTGAAAGTTTATTTATTTAATTTGTTCATTTAAAACATTTCTACCCCATTCCTCCTGATAAAACGTCTCAGGACGGCTTACAATAGTTAAAAGCAGCGATAATAATAAATAACAATAATAAATAAATAATGTTAATACAATAATTAAAACAAATAGCAGAACAGTAATTAACATTCAAGTCTAACAAAACTAAGAAAGAAAATGCGACTGGATCTAAAACAGCTAAAATCTTTAATTCTTAAAATGATGGTTGAATAAAAAGTTTTTTTTACCTGGCTTCGAAAAGAGTATAAAGTCGGCACCAGGCAAACCTCTCTGGGGAGCGCATGCCACAGTCTAAAGTTCCACTAGTCACCAGCATGAATGTGCAGAATCCTTCACAGGTAATAAGAGGAGAGATTTTGTGCAGATTTGCAGTCAAAGATAGGTATATCAGAGTCATTGGAAAGCAGGTTCTTCACTGATAAGAACCTAACTACACTGCTGGGACAGACCAAAGACTGCCTAGGCCAGCTTTGTTTTCCTGCAGTGGCCAACCAATTGCCTGCAGAAAGCCCACAAGGAGGACATGAGTGCAATAGCAGCTGTTGGACCAAGTGACGGAGATAGTGGGTGAGAAAAAGAGCTTGCAGTATTGTCACTTTGAAACTTTAAAAACTACTCTACTTTGACTGATAAGAAAATAATAAACTTGGCAGGGAGGGTCTCATCCTCACCCTCTGATTCAGCCATGTGCCAGCTCTGAAACATTTCTTACGTTCTAAGCAAGTTTATCAACTTAACCTTTGCAAAGGAATCTATGTGAGGGAGGGGCTGTGGGGATTGCATGCAAGTCTTAGAATTTCAGTTTTCCAGCAATAAACAAAACCTTGAGCCTAAATAGTGCAGAATTTGTGTGCATCTATTCATTTACTTTTACTTACATACGCACAGGTTCCTATTTTCCAACCCCAGGAGTCTGTTCAAAGCAATGAGCCGCACAAGACCACTATTCCGATGTTTAAAATAGTAGACTGACGCACTGACATTGCTGGAGGCCATGCTTTGTGGGGTGGGGTCTTCGAGCAGGGACAGGGGAGAATGAACGCAGTGTGTTTGCCAGTGGTGGCTGCGACAAGACACTTGTGGATTTTCACTTACGCTTCTGTCTTCCATCCCAGGCGGTATGTGTTGAAGCTGTCTGATGACATCGGAAACCTGGGTGAAGTGCGGCTTCCTCTCCTGGGCTGCCTGGGCATTTCTTGGATCGTTGTCTTCCTCTGCCTCATCAAGGGTGTCAAGTCCTCAGGAAAAGCAAGTTGCATTCCCTTACCTAACACATTCATGTTCACCCAATGGTCCAGAGTATTTTTTAAATCAGAGTATTTTTTAAAAAAATTAAATCAGCAAACAGTTCTGTAGTTATTCTTCTTACACAGCAGGAATGTAGGTATAGTCTTAAAGCATGAAAAAACAGTTGGAGGGGAAGTAAAGAACTGCGGGAGACAGTGTGGCACAGTGGTTAGAGTGTTGGACTGGGGAGAACTGGGTTCTAGTTCCCATTCAGCCACTGGGTGACTTTGGACAAGTGAGACTCTCAGCCTAATCTGCCTCACAGGGCTGTTATTGTGAGGATGAGATGAAGAAGAGGAGCACCTTGTAAACCACCTTGGGTTCCTTGCAAGAGGAAAAAAAGGCAGGGTATAAAAGAAATGTGATGATGATGCTGAAGGAAGGCTTGCCCAAATGAGGAAGACAAAACACAGGCGCAAGCCAGCACAAGGCAGATGCAAGGAGGTGACAGGAGAAGCGAAAAAGCATTTTGAGGAGTATGCCACTAATCAATCAAGAGCAACAATAAATCATTATTTAAGTATATCAGAAACAGAAGAACATCTGGAGAGGCCGTTAGACAGAGGGTGATAAAATAGTTAAAGGAGTATTAAAGGAGGATGAGGAGATTGCAGAGAAGCTGAATGAATTCTTTCCATCTGCCTTCACTATAAAGGATACAGGACAGAGTCTTGTTCCTCATGTACTTATGTACTCAGGAAGGCAGTCTTAGGAACCAAAGCAGGTAGTGGTGACAAAAGATGAAGTTCTCAATCTTATTGAGAATGAAAGATTAACAATCACCAGAACCAAATAGTATCTATCCTAAAATTCTTAAAGAACTCAATAGGAAATTGGTGACCTTCTTACACAAATATTTAATATGTACTTTACCAGAAGATTGGAGAATAGTTTAACACCAATTTTTAAAAAGGGATTTGGGAGAATCCAGGAAATTGCAAGCAAGTTAGCTTAACATCTGTTCTGAGTAATTTGGTTGAAAGCATTATTAAAGATAGAATTAATAAGCATCTAGAGGAGACAAGCTCAGTTGACAGTGAATCAACATAACTTTCACAAATGTGAATCCTGTCTCTTTTTTGAGCCTGTCAATAAACATTGTTCTACTGAAATGATTCAAAACATTGTTTACAAAAATCCTTTGACTACATTCCTCACCAAAGACTCCTGAGCAAACTTAGTAGTGATGGAATAAGAGGGGAGGTTCTCTTATGGATCAGTGAAAAATAGAAAGCAAAGCGTAAGAATAAATTATTTTGCCTGATGGAAATTAAAATGGTGGGGATCTGTACTAGCACCATTTTTTCAGTTTGTTTTGATGACACTAAACTGTTTAGGATGGTTGAAACCAAAAGGGATTGCAAGAAGTTCCAAAGGGATCTCTCCAGATTGGAAGAACGCACATTAAAATAACAATGTAATTCAGTGTAAATAAATGCAAAGTAATCCACATTAGGACAACCCCCCCCCCGCAACTTCAGGAACCAGCAGGTGGCAGGTGGAATTAAAGCTAGTGGTGACCCACCAAGAATGGGACCTTGCAGCTACAGTGCACAGCTTGATGAAAATGTCAACCCACTGAGCAGCAGCTGCGAACAAGGCAAACACCATTAGAAAATGAATCAAAAATAGAACTGCCAATATCACAATGCCCTTATATAAATCTACAGTACAACTGCACTTAGAATATTGTGTACAGGTCTGGTCACCACACTTAAAAAAATATTCTGTAGAGCTAGAAAAAGTACAGAGAAGGGCAACTTAAATGATCAAGGGGTTGGAGCAACCCCAGTATGAGGAAAAGTTACAGAAGCTGAGGTTTTTTAGCTTTGAAAAAAGATAAGGGGAGACCTGCTAGAGATGTACAGAATTATGCATGGCATGACGAAAAGGAAGTAGGAGACATTTTTCTCCCTCTCACTTAATGCTAGAACCCGAGGTCATTTCATGGAATCAATTGGTGGGAGATTCAGAACAGATAAAGCAGTACAGTGCATAGTGATCTGTGGGATTTTCTTCCACAAGACATAATGAATGAATTTAAATGGGGCTGAACAAATTCATGGAGGAGAAGGCTATCAATGGCTACTAGACCTGATGTTGATCTGTTACCTCCAATATCAGAGGCGGTGTTCCTATGAACTCCACTTGCTGCAGAACTTAGGCAAGAGGATGCTGTTACACTCCTATTGTGCCTGTGGGATCTTGAAAGCAGCTGATTTGCTGCTGTGTGAACAGAATGCTGGAGTAGATGTACCCTTGGTCTGACCCAGTACAGCTCTTCTTATGAGTGTGGTATGCATCACAGCTGAAGTAATACATAAGGCTATCTAAAGCACACATGCATACACCATCAAGGCCATTAAGTCCAAGGTCTGGCATATCCTACCTGCCCCACTGCGGCCATCTCAGTGATCATGCACCGTTCAGTGTCTCCAGCTTGGCCTACCAAGCCAAGTGCAAATAAGGTACCCCTTCTCTCTTGCCCCAGGTTAGTCAGTTTCCCATGCAGAAGCCTGTGGGAAAGCTCTGTGGAGACTTATTTCAAAGCTAATCTTCTGGATCCTGAAGGGGAGGGGTGCTGTGTGTATGATTTTTAGACATGGAAAGAACGTGGATGTATGACGTATCCAGAAAGTTACAGTGCTTAACAAGCTGGGGGTGCTAAATTCATGGCACACAAGAGTGACCACAACACTGAAGAGTTCACCTTAAGAGGGAGTAGAGTTCTGTGACTTACACCCAAGTCTCAAGAGAAGCAGAACTGTCTCTGGCTAGCTTGCTAACTTCCTTGAATCTGAGCTCTTGTCCAATTTTTCCTTTGACAGGTTGTATATTTCACAGCAACCTTCCCATACGTGGTGCTGACAATCTTATTTGTGCGGGGGATAACTCTTGAAGGAGCCACTACTGGGATCATGTATTATCTGACGCCACAATGGGACAAAATCCTCGATGCTAAGGTATGTGTGGAAGACCTTGGCAGAGTTGGCTTGTTTCAAAGTCACAACCACACTAACCTCCTTCTTCCCCCAACCTGAGGGGTTTGGGATGCATACAAGCCAAGCGAGGAGCTTTGCTGCCAGTAACCCCCTTCCCTCTGTAACTTCTTTGTTTTTGGTAGGTTTGGGGAGATGCTGCCTCCCAGATCTTCTATTCTTTGGGCTGTGCCTGGGGAGGGCTTATCACCATGGCATCATATAACAAGTTCCACAACAACTGCTATAGGTAAGGCTCATTATAAAGTAATGGGGAAAGGATGAACAGAGAATTTGTGGAGGGTTGGGGTTAGTTCTTCTCTCTGGCAAATGCCTATGAGAAGACACTGGAACCACAGCAAAGTCCAAATCCATGGCTACTAGAATCCCCAGCCCTTCAGTTTTGGGGGCACATGATTTTAGACACTGTACATTTTCACACTGAAACCATAAGGACCATAAAGATGATTTCTTCTTGCAGAGAATCCTGAGACATGCCACCAGATTGTTGAATAAACAAACAGGGCACATGATCAAAATTAAATAGAGATATTTAATTACCCCTTGCTTGATACTCACAAAGGAAAGACAATAAAAGGTGGTTGTTCCCTTTTTAACTCAAAATTTCTATCTTTTGTATTCCTTCTTTGCTTAGAGCTGTAGATGTACAGTTCTTGTCTACATACTAGAAAGAGTAATGCATAGTGGTTGGATACAGATGTAGCCATACTTAAAATAGTCCCAACAAACTCAATGGAAATTAAGATAGTCATAGCTAACTTAAGTCTTGTTGACTAACTACGACTACATCTGGACACCAGCAAATTAGTATTGGCGATAGGAACCTACATGAGATCTCTTGTGGCCATTTCCTGGAGCTTTTCTCCATTCGTTCAGTAATGCTCATGGCTAAAATAATGCAGTCCAACCTCCTAATCCTCCATTATATGACTTGGCAATGTGTGCCCTTCTCTTTCCTACAGGGACAGCATCATCATTAGCATCACCAACTGCGCCACAAGTGTGTATGCAGGCTTTGTCATCTTCTCCATTCTTGGCTTCATGGCCAACCACCTCAGTGTGGATGTTTCGAAGGTGGCTGACCATGGTCCTGGCTTGGCATTTGTGGCTTATCCTGAGGCATTGACACTACTCCCAATCTCCCCTCTTTGGTCGGTTCTCTTCTTTTTCATGCTCATCCTGCTGGGACTGGGCACACAGGTAATCACCGAAGTAGATATATAGGACACTGGGAAGTGGGAGAGAAGGCACAATAACCTATGTGAAAGAAACACACTTGAAATCATGGCATTTGGGTGCATCAGCAGCCGCAGAGAATTACAGGGTGGCTAGTTACATAATTTCTCAAGCTAGATAGAGATGAGTACTAGTCATGGAGTGATGCAGATTCTCAGTGTGAGGGCAGGCTTGCCAGCATATCTAGGGTATATGTGTTAATGCACAATATCAGATTTGAGGCTAGATATGCAGCAGCTTTCCAAACTTGGTTCACATTTATCTTAGTGGGAAGAATGAGTGAGCAGCTCTATAGATGAGGTAGCCTTGAGTGATGGAGACTGAAAATCGCAGGGAAGACTTCTATTTCCAGGCTGGGCAAAGCAAAACAATTGCTCATAGTTTGTTTATGGCAGGGGTAATGAATCTCTTTCATCTTGAAGGCCATATTCAATTTCAGAGAAGTTCTCAAAGACTATGTCCCAGTGCTGGGCAGCAGGGCTGAAAGCAAAAGGGGCATGGCCAGAATATACAAAAATACCAGCACATCTTAGCTTCAGTTTCTTACTACCAGCAACTAAGTCTTAGGAAAAGCATTTCAAAATGTTAAAATGTGGAGAATGTTGTTCAGAGCCAGAAATCACCATAGTGATTAGAGGAGAGAGGAGAAAGCCATCCATGCAACTCTTTGGGACTCAGATGGGCTGAATTTTGCCCATGAATCTGAGGTTCTGCATCCCTACTCTAGGGCGAACTGAGTCATAGATATACAATAACAGAGAAAGCTCGAGCTTAAACATTAGCACCCAAGTGACTGAAGCATCCTTGCCCATGGGTTGGGGCTGAGCTGCTGCTTTCCAAGCAGTCCAGGTCCTCACACTGGAACTGATAGGTATGGAGGAGAAAGTAAGGAAAAAAGCAAAACAAAACAAAGCTAATGGAGGAGGGGTGGAGAAGCTGGAAACATGACAGAATTCTCATTGCCTTCTTCTCTTGGATCAATTCTCTTCTCAGTTCTGCCTCCTGGAGACTCTAGTTACAGCCATAGTGGATGAAATAGGAAATGACTGGATCATCCGTCGAAAAACCTTTGTCACTCTGGCTGTGGCTATAGTGGGTTTTCTGCTGGGTATTCCACTCACTACACAGGTATGAAGCACAGAAAAAGGTTTCGCCAGGTGGGAGAGAGATGTGTCTTGCTGGAACCATGAAGCTGAAGGAAGGGGGACTTGCTTCAATCTCTGTTGATTGCTTTTCTTTCCTTCACCCCACAGGCTGGAATCTACTGGCTATTGCTGATGGATAACTATGCAGCAAGCTTCTCACTTGTTGTTATTTCATGCATCATGTGTGTCTCCATTATGTATATCTATGGTAAGTAACTTCTAGATGATGGAAACCTCCTCAGGAATAATTAAATCAGTGCTGCTTATTCAGAAATTAAGCAAGGTATGGCAACTGTATACACGGGCATTGCCAGATAGATGATATAGATTTCAAATACACAATGTAATTGGAAGTAAAATATGAAGAAGCTGTATTTTCACTGCTAAAGCAAGACCAGAAGGAGATTACAGTGGTAACGATGAACTTTTAATATCACAAATCAGAATAAAGCTGAAAAATAAACAGATGCATAGTGCCAAAACACAGCTTAAATTCCACTGCTGAGGAACCAAAAGTCCACATAAAGAATAGATGTGCATTACTGAATTCAGTTGACCAAAACCTAAGAACCAGAGACATTATTAGGGAAGAATGCAAAAAGACAATTCCTGCAGCAAAAAGAAAGAAAGGGCCTTGACAAATGACAGAAGAAACACAGTTTCTATGGACAGACAAGAAGCAAAAGCAAACAGTGATAAAAATAGGGTCAGAATACTGAATGCAACTTTTAAGTTACTAGCAAGTAGGGACAAAAAGAATTATTACAATAATCAGTGCAGAGAGAGAGAGGAGGAAAGGAAAGGAAAGGAAAGGAAAGGAAAGGAAAGGAAAGGAAAGGACAAGAGACCTCTTCAGCAAATCCAAGAAATCAAAGGGAGATTCAAACCTAGATTGTGAATGCTGAAAGACCAGCAGGGGAACACACAATCAGACCAGAAGAAAATAGAAAGTAGAAACAATATACAGAAGTACTACACAGAAAAGATAAAAAGATGATAGGCTCCTTCAAAGAGGAATTATATGAGGAAGCACCTGAAATATTAGAAAGCAAAGTGAAAGCATCTCTGAAAGCACTTGGAAGAAATAAAGCACCTGAGAAGATAAGGTGCAAATAGAACTATTCCAATCCACAGAGACTGGATCAGTCAGTCTAAATCCTTTACAAGAATATACCAACAAATCTGGAAAACAAAACAATGGTCCAGACTGGAAACATGCAATATATATTCCAATCCCTAAGAAAGAATATGGTAAGAAAGGCAGCAACCATAGGACCATTGCACTAATTTCCCACAAAAGCAAAGTGATGCTCAAGGTGTTGCAACTAAGAATATTAACCTTTATGGAGTGAGAAATGCCTGATGTTCAAGCTGAATTCCAAAAAGGAAATCATATTCAATACACACAAGATACTGGAGCACACCAGAAAATGTCAAAAGATCAGTGTGTACTTTATAGACTGCAGCAAAGCCTTTGACTATGAGAATCACAAGAAGTTATGGATGGTCCTGAAAGAAATTGGTGTACGTCAGCATTTGATCATTCTGTGTCATGAACAAAGCACTACTTTTGGGATGGGATGTGGAGAAACAGAATGCTTTCCTATAGGCAAAGGCATCAGACAAGGGTACATGTTATCTCCGTATCTGTTCATGGTAGGCAGGGCATAGCCTAAGGAAAGCTGGACTAGCATCAGAGGAAAGAGTGAAAGTTACATCAATCATGTAAGATATGCAGATGATGCCACATTACTGGCAGAAAGCAGCAGTGAATTGAAAGGACTTCTGATGAAAGTGAAAGAAGAAAGTGCAAAAGCAGGAAAGTGCAGCTGAAAATCAAGAAAAGAACATCTTGACTACCAACTTCATTGTCAAAGATGAAGACATTGTACTTGGGAAAGATTTTCCATTCCTTGGCTCAATCATCAATTGAAACAGAGGCTGCAACCAAGAAATTAAAAGAGGGTTGAGACTTGAAAGGGCAGCAATGAAGGAACTAGAAAAGATAATCAAGTGTAAGGACATCTTTCTGGACACCAGTGAGGTCAAGGTCGATCATCCAAACTATTTTATGCCCAATCACCAAGTATGGATGTGAAAGGTGGACAGTGAAGAAACCTGACAGAAAATTGATGCGTTTGAAACATTTTGTTGGAGGAGGGCTTTGTGAACACTGTGGACTGCCAGAAATATAAACAAATCAAATCAAACCAGTACTTTTGCTGGAAACAAAAGTGACAAAACTGAAGCTGTTGTACTTTGGCCACATCATGAAATGGCAAGACACTCTGAAGAAGACAATCTTGCTATGGAATGTTGAAGGCAGAAGAATTAAAGGAAGACCAAATACGAGATGGATAAAGAGATTCAGACTTGAGTTTACAAGAGTTCATCAGGACTGTGAAGGATAGGACATTTTGGAGGTTACTCACTCATAGGTTAGAGATGACCGGATTGCATATGACAATACCAACAAACAAACAAGGCATGGACCAAGCTGGACTTTGACTGGCTGGTCTGCCTAACCAAAATTCAGCAATGAAGCCATGGATAAAATTTCTCACTGCTGATCAAGACTGCTATGACTCCTGCCTTCTGCTTCTACTGTGACAGACAGCCAAGAGCCCCATGTTTGTTAAAAAAAAAAGACTTGGAACATGACTGGAGACACTGGTAGCTCTAGATACCACCACCAGATGGAGGTATGAGAGACCGGGTTAGCGCACAGAATAAAGGCAGGGAATCAGCAAGGTTTGCTTATTCGTGGCTTATGCAGGATCTCCCGCTGTAGGTCCGCACTGTGGGAAAGTAAATGGCTGCATAACCTCTTGACTAGTTATGCAGGCCATGTTTTCCCCGGCCCCCAAACTGATGTAAGACTAATATGACTAACGTGACTCAGGCAGGTTACTCTGGAGCTAGTTGAGGCTGATGTGTCCAACAAGGCCAGCATCAGTGGTTTGTTTGGTCAGGCAATCACAAGGGGCCAGAGCCCAGAAGGTCTATTACTGCCCCAAGATGACAGACACCATCTCACTTCCTGGAGAAGTGCTTGTAGGCAGCAAAAGAAACAGACAGCAAGAGCAAGCCTAGCATTAAAACCCAGAATTCATAAGTGCCAAGGCTCCATGACCCTGGCAGAGCCCACCAGCAGTGAGCAACCATGTCAGCTGGTTGGGTCTGCAAGTAGCCTTCTAATTTCCCACAATGTGGACCCACAACGGTGGAGGGGGGCAGGAGAAAGAGGTTTTGAGGAGGCTCGAGTATGAAAAGCCCATAGACACATTTTGGCAGAGGAACCATGAGAACCTGCAAATTCATGTCCAGTTAATGACCCTGGTTCAACTAGTCCACTTACCACGTTTGCCTCTGCTTCACACAGGGCACCGGAACTACTTCAAGGATATTGAGATGATGCTGGGTTTCCCACCTCCTGTCTTCTTCCAGATCTGCTGGAGGTTTATCTCTCCTGTTATCATCTTTGTGAGTGCATGGTGGGAACAGAAGAGGTGGGAGGAGGAATGGGACAGTAGCACATGACTGGGAGGAGGCCATCACTAGCCACATGAATGTGGATGTAAATGATGGGGCTACTAATACAGAGAAGTGGCAAGAAAGGCAATAAGAGAAATGCAAGGGCAAAGTCACGTGCCTGCCAACTGCAAAGAGTAAGAATAGCCACACCTGCCAAAGGAATTGGGCCCCTAAAGGCAGTAGAGGTGTAAACGTGGTCTGACCCATACATTGGTCTGATTCCAACCAGTCTTTTCCCTTTTGCTTCCAGTTCATCCTTGTGTTCACAGTGATTCAGTACCGGCCCATCTCTTACAATATGTACGTGTACCCCACCTGGGCTATCGCCATCGGTTTCCTCATGGCACTCTCATCGGTTATCTGCATCCCCATCTATGCTGTGTTCTGTGTATTACGCACTGAAGGGGACTCACTGCTGCAGGTAAGGCTGCGCATGGTGGGCTGAGAAGGGGGGGATGCTTTTCCTGGATGTGCAGCTCCAAAGGGGCCTGTGTGGCTGCCTTGAATCACAATGCAAGGCAAGGGGCCCGATGCCACTAACTCCTCCTGCATCTTCTGTCTCTGCAGCGCTTGAAAAACTGTACCCGGCCAAGCCGGGAGTGGGGTCCAGCCCTTGTGGAGCACCGGACAGGCCGCTATGCACCGGCGCTCAGCTCCTCCACAGAGTCACAGCTGGAGGTGCAGTTGCTAAACCCTGAAAAGTCCAAGAGTGACGAAGCTGGCATGGCTGTTGCCATCACTGTCGGAAGCAATGGCTCTACTCACAGCCAGGACTCCAAGATCTGAACCTTAGCCTGGGAGGCAGGGCAGGGAGTCCTCCTTGCACCTCCCCTTTCCCACCTGCTCTGGTCCTCCAAACCTTACTCTGCTCAGATATAAGACAGCGCCCCACCACTGGGTGGGGGAGCCCTGGCTCCCAGGCTGTGCCGGACTCTGGGGGAGGGGGCTGTGAGTTCCTACCCCATCCCACCTCATTAGTGCCCCCTGTGCCATCTTGTAACCCTCATGTTTACAGTAATGTTCAGATGGCCCCAATTCACAGCCAGGACCAGGATCAGAGGCAGGGAGGGTGTGCACTGGCCGAAGAGTTGGGGGTGCCTTGAAGTGTAGCAGGAGTTGGGAGGAAATAAGAGCCGCATTGGCTCTGCAACGCTATCAGGGTGGATTCTGGCAGCTGCACCTGGACCCACGGGGTAGGGGTGGGGGTTCTGCAATCTACTGGGGTATAGTATACCCCTTACTGCCCTGTATCAGGTCTGTGGGGCCTGGTCCCACAGAGAAGCAAATACAGAATTGGGGAGGGATGAGGGTAGAGCATACTGATAGTAGTTACAAAGTGAGATTCCAGGCGAAGCTTAACCCTGGATGAAGCGGCCCACAATCCGGCTGCTGCTGCTGCTGGAGGGATTCTTCCAGAGATATTCTGAAGCCTGCACACTACGCTCCAAAGTATCTATCTTCCCAGCTTCCTTACCTCTCTAGGAAAGGTGAGGAAGCTTTCCCAAAAGTATCAACATGCAGTTCCAGTGCTTCCCATCAGAAGAGATCTCTTGCTAGAAAAGACTGAATGGGTTTGGCAGATCAGTCAGCTGAAGAGCTCCAGCTGAGCTCTCCTTAACTAGATTACAGCAGGAAAGCGATGGGCTTATCACTATTCTAGGAACACAAGCATGCACAAGACCACACCTTGATTTCAAATCTAGCCTTACTTGCACATGCATCCAGACTCTCTTCCTCTCTCGCACATACCCACTGACAGCTATACCTATGAACACACAGCATCTCCCAGCTATACAAATGCACAGCTGAGAAACTGGAAGCCCCATTAAATGTGATTCAAACCTAGGGCAGTCCCATAGGCTTGGAGTAGCACATGCAAGCTGCTACCCACACTGTGCACAAGGTGTGCACCGTTGCTCTGCGGAGCATCTTCTGGATACTCAGCCAAGCCCTTTGCTCTTGGTACTGACCCTGTGGGAGATGATGCTTGAGCCCTGGGGTGTAGGAGTTTGGAAGCACTGTTCTACATTCTTCCCCTCGAAGAGAAGTGACTGCATTTGAATGGAGTCTCTCTACTGACAGGGGATCGTTGGGACCTAGCCCTGCTGCTTCCTCTAAGGAAAGGAGCAGAGCCAACCATGGTGCTAAGAGCAGGTGATGTGCCAAGACCTTTCAACACCATTTGGGGGAAGCACAAAAGACAAAAAGCACAACTTTCCCTAAATGTTATCCCGAGCCAGGTCCAGACCCCGTGTGGCCCACTTCTCCAGTACTAGCAGGAGGTGAAAGCTGCTGGCCCCATGCTGCCAGCAAGGATGGGTTGGCCAGAGGCACTGGCACCATATCTGGTTGCCAAGACCTCACCCTAACCCCACATTGGGCCCATGCTGGCTCAGGTTGATATGACTTATTCATGGTTCTGTCTTCCAGCCTCGTCACCCCTTGTTTCCATTTCAGTGTTGCTGCCTGCACTTTACCCCTAGAAAAGCCTGGGAGGAGGAGACAGGAGGCCATGGCAGCCACTCTCTTGCCCTCGACCCCGTGGCAATCCCAGGTCACTTACCAATGCCAAACAGTGCATGCAGGGGCCGCCCCTCAGCTCCCAGTCATGCACAACTGCTGTGTGTAGCCATGGTGCCAACAGCAAGGTTTCTACCCACGTGGTACCTGTCGCAGCCAGTGGCATCGGTACAGTGGCCAGTGCTCAAGTGCCAAATGTCTGCATCACAAGCAGACAGAGGGGGGAACAGATGGCTCCATGCCATGATGGTACTTCAGCCCTAAGCCTCCATCACCCCATCCTTCCCTATGCTATGCCGAAGATGCACTATTTAATGCATGATCCCAAGTCTGTCCTTCCCTCTCATGCAGAATGTGGCAACTCCCATTGCCATCTCATCGATCATAGCAATAATTGTGACGCGTCTCCTCCCATACTGTGACTTTCCCAGATGTAGATTTTTAAAGTCTGATAGATTTTAATGAAATTTATATTCCTCAACCTAGGCTGGTACAGTCCTTTTTGTGGGAATGAGAAGGGGGACTTTGAGGGTTCCTGTTCTCCCTGCAAAGCTCATATAAGGGCTATGGCACTAGATGTGGCTGGGAAAGGAAAGGCACAGTTGTGTTTGCAGGAGGTTTGTCTGTTCTGATGCGGGGTGATCTTGCATTTTCACTTAGGCTGGAACCCATGGCCCTAGAGGCAAGGATGGACAAAGGCAACAGCAGCCAGTAAGCCCAGTGTAAGCACGGGGGACACTGCAAGATGTGAGCAGAAAATGAGGCAACGGGAACGAGAACAGGACATTCTCTTTGCCCTAGCTAGGCCCTTTACATCTCAGCAACCTAGTGCGGGGGCAAAAGCGAGGCAGTGGGCATGGTTGTGGAGGAGGCACGGGGTGGAAGGCAGTATCCCAGCCTGATACTGCTATCCGGCAAACTGAAGCGATCTTGTCTTCCTTTGGAGGTGCTGGAATCACAGGTTTGGGCAGCTGAATGTCATTGTCCTTCCTTGCATGGTTGACCTCACCATCTTGGTTCATCTGTCCCAATCGTCCTTTTACTGAATGGCACCACTGGACTGGTACCTGATGACATAAAGGAGAAGTTTGATCTCTGGCATTCCGTGAAGGAGACACATTAGCAGCAGGACTGATTTCCCCAAAGTTTGGTCTGTTGATGGCGCCTTTTGCACAGCTGCAAAACAAAGAGAAGAGGTTACAGGGAAGCAGGAAACATTGCCCAAAGTTACTCCAAGTCATGGATGGGGAAGGTGCAGCCCTCCAGATGACAGTGGACTGCAAATCCCATCATCACCATTGGTTACAATGGATAGGTCAAATGTGTGTTGAAGTTCACTACTATCTGAAGGACCACAAATTCCCTGATCTTTCTCCAAGTAAAGCATCAAGAACAAAGAAGTCACTGCAGCAGGTCTAAAGGGTCTCCACTGGTCCTGCACTGAATCAACTCCAGAAAGCCTACTTAATAATGGCAGGAAAGCCAGAGAGGATGCAATAATAAGCCAACCTTAAACTGTGGTTGGTATTCTCTGCTACAGACTCATGTTCCTTACAGTTGTAATCTATTGCTTCATATTGCTTCAGTATTAAGTCTTTTCCTATCATGGAGGGGCCATAGCTCCGTGGTGAGGTTCATGATTTGCATGCAGAAGGGCCTTGTAACTTCAGTCTCAGGCATCTCAGGGCTACAAAGCCTCCTGCCTGAAACCCTTCAGAGTAATTGCAGCCAATCAATGCTGACCATACTAGGATAGACAGACCAGTGGTCTGACTCAGCACAAGGCAGTTTCCATGTACCTGGGCTGGTAGCTGCTACTCCCAAGTTGCTTTGGCATCAGGGAAGGACTAGGGCATGTTTTGGAGTGGCTCAGCTGCAGATCCCGCTCCATAGCACGTTTCTCTTCTTGAAGTTCTGTGGACAGAAGGTTTCTTTCAGGGAGGAGGCACAATCAAGCACAAGTACAGACTGGTGCTCACAAAGCGATCCGTCTCATTGCAAGTAACACACGCCAGCATCTGTCTCAAGAAAACAACTATAGCTACCATGATGCTTCATCCCTTCCCCACTCTTCAGCATTCCCAAGGTCATGAAACCTGAGCTCCACCTACCAGCCATGGTGGGCTCATGTGCTGCCTCTAGGAGCTCTGTGGTCTGCTGATGTGCCTCCTCCAGATGGCTCTGCAGAGCAAGGGAAACATTTACAGGAGATAAGGACACTGATATAGCTGCTCCACTGCATAATATTCCCAAAGGTGTCCAAGTCTCACTGAGAAGGATCCATGATTAGGAACCTATCCTACATGTGATATTTTACTTTTCTTCCAGTCTTCTAGCTGTCCCAGTCAACTGCAGGAAGCTGCCAGTGATGAGCAGCAGTGCATCCATCCAGCTGAAGATGTTCATTTCTTATGTCACTGGGAAATACACCAGTTTTTCACCACTACCCCAGCAGTTCTGAGAGCCAGAAAATTCTGCCACTGGGAAATACTAGTGGTGCAAAACTGGTTTTGATCAGCAGGTGCTGAAAGCAAGAGGAAGTTACTGCGACCCAGTATGATAGAGATTTTCTCAGGATGTCATACAGCTCTCTTACCATTCACACCTCAAACCATACTCAACTTCTTTATGATTTGGAAACAAAGGGAGAAATTATAGCTGTTAGAATGGTGCAAAAGCCAAACACTATTCAGCATCACTGGAACACAGGAGTTCTGGCTCATGGCCCACCCACACTCTTTTCTAACCCACTGGAAGGCCCCAGGGGTAGGACATGCCATATTGGTCTCAAGGATCAAGCTCTCAACTGTGCAGGTATGAAGGAAGAGTAATAAGGATATTCTAGGTGAAAGAAATGTTATTCTAGAAATATGGCCTACGGCAAAATACAAGCCAGTCATAGATCTGCTGTCCATGATCTGACGCAGATCTTTGAGTGCGGACAGGTTCACACGACACAAAAAGCCATGGTGTTTTATTACCATTGTAAGTCTTGTGTCATCTGAGCCCCATTGTGGCATTTTGGTGTGGTACATTTGGTCTTTAGAAGCTACAAACAGAAACAATGGTCTGTCCTATGGATCCTCCCTCCCGCGATGGCTTGTTGTGTCAGCCAAATTCCAAAAACATGACCAACTGCGGTGCCAAAGCCAGTACGAGAGAGCTGCTTAGCAAGAAAGCTTTAATGCTACTCTTGTCAAGTAGCTAGCAAGAGAGTGCCACTGACAGCTGCCATCTTGCGTGGCTGTCAGAGCCATCCCCACTCTGCGGGGCCTCCTGCCCCAAAGGTTTTCTGTGAAGCAGGAGCAGATGGTCGGCTGGGCAGCACTGCGCAAGGAGCAGCACCGCTCAGCTGATTCTCCAGCTGCCCTGAGAGAATTCCTTCATGCACACAAGCAGGGGGGAGTAAGCCTCAGTTGGGCAGCAGTTCTCAGCTGGGGGCAGCACTGCCCTGCTGATTCCTGTGCTTACCCTGTGCTCTTCTTCCTGCCTGGGAGGAAGGAGTCCCCAAACTGGCACCTGCTGAGCAAGGTGGGGGTGCTTCCCTCACAAGGAGGAATGAGCAGGAGGGATGAGCAGAGGAACCAGCTCAGGGATGCCGCTCCGTTCTGCAGCAACACCCAGCTGATTCTCATCCCTCTACTCACTGCAGGAGGAGCTTATCTCAAGTGTGTGTGCAGAGAGTGGTGGGGGAATTAGATGAACAGCCCTGCTCCTTCTCCCAAACCAGCCCAGTTAATCCACTCCCCACCCCCCGGCTGCTGCCACCACCTATTGCCTGAATGTGGATGAGGCATGTCCCTCCTGCTTCGGTGGTTCCCTTTGGAGCAGCAGGTGCGGTGCTTCCTCATCCTCTCTGCTGCGCTTCACAACATGAGTCCTGTTTGTGGAGCAGAGAATGCTTGACAGCTGTGGTGAGCCAAACGTTGCTCAAGATCACACCTGTCAAAGAGAGAAGCCTCATTCCTCCTTGCAGTGTCTCCTGGGATAATGCCTGGAGGACTGAGAGGAGATGGAGGGAGGAAGCAGTTACCATCATGAGCCTGATAGTTTGGCAGCACACCAAGGTAAAAAACTGCAAACTGTGGTAACCACTAAGAGTTGCTTGACATGTGAACCCAGCCAGTGTGTGGGATAAACACTGTACATGTGGAAAATGATGTCTCTAAGGACCCTACATCGAGGTGGGTAGGAGTTCAGCCTTTACCTGTAAATAAGGGATGCATCTTTCCAGAGCATGGCACTCCTCCTCTAGCAGGGTCCTAGAAGAAATGGGACTGCTGAGATACCCAGGCTGAGAGAGAGATTGGAAACAACCACACAAGCAACAGCCAACCTGCAGCCTTAAAAGGAAGTGGGTGTCTCCATTGCTTCCCCACATTTTCATTCCTTGGCCACTGCTAGGACTGGCAATCCAAAGGTGAATTAAATGGGAGGGTGTCCACTGTTTCTTTACATTAGCAGCTTTCCATACTTGGCTGAGATGAATGGCTCAGTTCTGAAGCACTTTCTGAAAAGGCACAAGTGTTCCTAACCAATGGCCAAGGTCTGATAGTGCTGCTCAGTCTTATCCTGTCCTTTGCTAGTTTGATTTGTCCAAGCTGATTGGCAAATTCTTCCTGGGAAGTCTTGACTCCATAGAACTTGGTGCCCAGTTATGGGGCAGAGTGCAGAAGAATCCTCACCTCATCATTAGTGTGATCCATCCTGGATGTTCAGCTGGAAACTGAAATTGTGCCTACTCTCAAAGACCACATTCCTGTATTCTGCCCTGTTTGCAGGGCCATGGCTTTGGAAGGCATCTTCTTTACCTTTTCCCAGGAGTCCCACCCTCACATTCCATAACTGTGGGGCAGAGAGATGCCTCCTCCTCTTCTTAAGTGTGTATTGAAGAAATTAAAATTTAGAACCAGTGGTACATTTCAGGGGAGGGGTTTCAGGCAGAGGTCCACAGTCCCATTCAGCAGATGGAGGGGGTACCACAAACAAAGCAAAGGCCAAAATCTAAAATTAACCAACTCTTCTAACGTTCACAAAAATCCAGTGGTGTAGTGGAGCTAGGACTTGAGATGCACTGCCAACATGTTTGATAAGCAGAAATCTAATCTGATACGATGTGCCACCTCCTTCAGAATTCCCTGAGTCAGTTTAGCTGCAACCTAACAGTAGCAGGAGGTGAGACATAAATATTCTCAGTAACAATATATAGTTGTGAACTATCCCTGTTGTAAAGCAAAGCATTTTGATGATTGGCTTAGACTTGAATAGGCACGTAAGACCCAACAGCTTTGTAAAAGACCTGGTGGAGGTGAAATCTGCTAGAATTGGTCTGTTGATATAGATTGAGAAAGCTGCCTGCATTTTAGTCCTTTTCCTTGAGGAGCATTGCTGTGGGAACCATCATGATGAGTACTTGTACTTCAAAATTTATCATTATGCCACTGATCTGCACCAACACAGAGCAAAATGGGCAGCAGCAACTGTGTGCGTGCCCACGGGAAACATGCAAGGGAAATCTTGCAAACCTCACTCTGCTCCTTCTAGTCCTCATGTTTGTGGCATAGGCTGGACTAGGAGGGAACAGAGGGGGAAACATAAAATACATCGCTGCCTGAACTCGGCTGCACACATTTTCACATGCAGCTACTCCCAGCCCTCCTCTTATCTTTAGAATGATTTTAAGCACTCTTCATCACAAAGTCTACTATTCAATGTCTTCCTGACTGACAACATGCACCTCTAAGACTCCTCTATCTCCTTCCCTCTTAAGAAAATAAAGTTGCAACAAAGATTTATTGTCTTGGAAAAACTTACCGAAGCTGTGTGGATACCTCACCAATATGGGCAATATTCAGGTTATTACAGAAGGGTCCCAAGTCATTAGCTGCTGTGGAGGGCAGTGCCCTAGGGAAACAGACCGGATGAGCGGCAAGGACCATACCACACAACCTGAGCTTTTGCTGTTCCTCATAGCTAGACAGACTTAGTGCCCACAGCCAGGCACTCTTGCACTCTGCAAAGCAGGGAATAGGACACTCACTGCAGAACCAGCTGGAGGATTTTACTTTCTATGTCCCCTCGCTCAGTGGTTTCTTGCATTCCTGGCCCCACTGCAGGGATGCCACAGGGCAGAGGATCAAAGTGAATCAGTATGCTTCTCAGAACTCAGAGCCAGTCCTGGAATTACTGGCCATCAGAGGGTGACCATCTGTCATACGGAGTAGCTATCACCATCTGGCCACACATTGGCATCTGGGCAGAAAACCATACCTAGTAGGTAAACAGCTGGTAGATAAGCAGTACTTGGGAATGACATTTAGGATGCAATCCTAAATACTAGCTAATAAGATCCATTGACTATAATGGGACAAATGTCCAAACAACATGCAGAGAATTGCAATGGAAGGGCACAATCCTATGTGTTTTTTGACAGAATAAGGGCCTACCACTATGCTGGATGAGGCATGTTGGGAGTTATAGGCCATTTTCTGCCTAAACATGCATAGGATTTCACTGCAACTCTATGTACCCTTGATACACAGGAGTTCCAGCTTCACCTCTCCTAAACAGTACTATCTCTGTATGTAGCACTGCATTATACAGGGTTAGGCCCGAGATCTTAAATCTTCAAGATAATATTTTTAAGCAAAATGAAATATGTATTTTGGAAAACAAAAACAAACATAAAAATCAGACATATAAGAAAAATGGCTAAGCAAGAGAAAACTTTTCTTATTGTTACAGAAAGTTATTACAGTGCAGTGCTACTGAGTCTGATGCAGAGGGACACACATGAGAGTTTTTAAAGTACAGCTGACTCTTAAGTCACAGCCTTCTCTAAGAAAATAGTCTCCAATTATAGAAGGAAACCTTTTAGTTCAGGAATCAGAAAAAAGTGAAAGCATTTCAAATTGGAACAAAACCAGAATTTAACATGCACATTTGGTCCCAGTAAGTTATTAGGAGAAAGGGAGGTTCAAGTATGAAAATCAGGTTGATGCAAAAGCAGGCCTGTCTGCCACTGGAGCAGAAACTACTGGTGGAACTATCTGCTCCATTCCCCTTCTACAGCCTTGCATGCACCCCCCACATTTACTTCAGAGGGTTGGGGCAGTTGCCCAGTGGGAGCAGAGCAAGGGTAAATGAGCTTGCAATACACTGGATTTAAGTCTCACTCTGTAACTTCAAAATATATTTGAGAATCTAACAAAAAAGATGGGAAGGCTTGAAATGATTATGGTGATGACAACAGCAACACAGTAGATGTCATGTTGCTCCAGTCTGAATTTCATATTACATTTAATCTGTGTTTTAAATTCCATTCAAACAGAGAGTTGAATTTAATAGTGGATTGACAGCAAAACTGCCCATAGAAAAATCAAGAACCAATCATTGCTTGGCTGCAGTGTATGGCATTCTGAGGTGTTAGCTTCTCTGCAGACAGAATCAGTCCTCAATTATAGGACTGCTTGTTGTGACAGAAAGGCCAGTCAGTGTGTGCAAGGTGTTCTGGGTAATGAGTCATCACCCAAGACTCACTGTGTGAGGTTCCTGCTTTCCCATATATAAAGCTGTTCTGAGGTCTTACCTGATGAGGGCATTGCTCTCAGATGGCCGGCCAGTGCCAACATTTGCCTTTAAAGCAAAAGTGACCACGTGTGGGCTGTATTTAGCAAGGGCACAGTCTTGGTCCCTGTAAAAAGAAGCAATGGAACCATAAGGCAGAGCTGCACGGCCGGTTTTCAGACTGGCAGGTTTGGGAATTGCTAGACCTAGGCTGATTTTACAGTTTCCCAGATCTATTCCACAATGTCCATTGGTGCCAATAAAAGGGTTTTTTTTAATCAGCTTAATCGCCATAGGGAATAATTTTCAGGGGGGATAGTAGCTGGAGTGGGAAGGGTTAACTCTCTTCTTCCCATATGCAGCAACATCATTTTCCCTGTAAAAAAATCTTCCCTGCATTAATCTCAGAAAAGAAGGTATTTCCACTGGTTTGCAATGACCTGGGGGAAGCTGCAAGTTAACTTAAAAAATTGTTTTAAGACTATTTGGATGAAAAATTAAGAATCTGGTTTTGCTTCCTGTGCAATGTAAACATATACTGGAAATTATTTCTAAATTACCATAATAGATGTCATTAGCATGTGCAGATTTGTGTCCTGTGGGCCTGTGCTCTGAATCTTTTATATACCTAGCAATATGCTCTGCTGACCGGGACAGAAGAAAGCTAGTCTGCTCTGTGATCCAGTACTGCTGCCACCTGATAAATGCAACATAGTCAAGCCAGACGAACCTTTTCAGTTGAAACAGCCACACCTTCCAGACCAGTCCATTCTGACTGGCCCATCATGGAACATTCCACTGCTTACACAGGCGCAAGAGAGGGAGCTAATCTCCAGCCAAGGGTTCCTGTAACATTTTGATGAACATCCCTTTTCCACACAGCGACATAACCCCAGCCTCAGGCTATGAAAACTGCACACAAAAGAACTGGCATGTTTGCATGGAGTGGAACTGAGGGACTGGACAAAAGGCTTGACCCCATAATATTTTAATTATGTTTTTATCCTCAGTCATGTGGTAGTATATTGTATTTATTAGCTGTTTTATATTATAAGCTGTCCAGAGATGAACCATAATGGACGGGTTATAAATACCCTAATAATAATAATAATAATGAGGAGGAGGAGGAGATAAAAAAAATAGGATGAATTATAAGTGATACAGAATCTTTCAAAGTGAAATAAAGCCCTGAACTTCTGGGGAAAAAATATAAAGCTGCATGTGAACATCAGGAGAATATTAGATCCAGCAATTTGCTTAAATGACACATCTTGCCAATCCACTATTTCTTGGGCACTGGCCATTTCAGTGATGACCTCAGTCAACTGATACTGGAAAGGCCAATTAGACTGCCTTGGGAGTGGTATTCCTTAATAAGCATCTCTGGAACGGTCATCCCGAGAGGACGAACAATACCTTTCTGGCTCCTGGTGCCTACACTGCCCTGGCCACAGATCTATCGCCATCCACATCAGTTGGAAGCTTACAGTGGAATCCTACACATGCCTACTCAGATCCCTTGTGTCCAATGGAGTATGACTACAGGCTAACAGACTCACCCTTTCCTCAGGCCTGAGGACATTCTGGTTCTCCTTGTTCCATTCCCTAAACATGCTCCTCCACAGCATCCTGGAACTAGCCCAAGTTCAGCCCTTCAGTGCCCTCCTTTCAAAACCCACTAGTACCTCCCCTCCTGAAGTGCCTTTTGCTGCAGGCCAATCAGGAGAAGGCGGATCTCCTCCCGCACCAGCTCCTTGAGGTGGGGGGGAGCAGCCAGCAAGGTCCAGCGGTCGGCTGCTTGTACAGGACTCTGCTCCAGTCTGTGGTGGTCCAACTGCAGTTCCCGATAGCATTCCAACAGGATACACACCTGCAAAAAGGAAAGGGTTAGTTTGGGTTAGAACAAGTGCATAGCCTTGGACACTTGCATCTGTCTATCATGCAACCACACACAGACACTAACCACAAGAACATTCTCTGGGTAATCTCACTCTGCTCACTCTTCACCATGCTAAATGACAAGAGGTACTCAGGCAACTTGGAAAGACAAATTACAATCCCGTTTCCCACACAACCTTCTACATCCATGCCAGCCCAAAAGGATGCCATTTCAGACCATGTCTGCAAATCCAATCAGGTGCCACTTTGCAGAAGGACATTTTTTCTTGCAATATATTACACTAACACCCCACCCTTTTCCTCTCCAAGGAACTCAAGATGGTTTCCATGATTCTCCTCTTCTCCATTTATCCTCATAACACACTGTGAGGCCAGTTAGACTAAGGGTCAGTGACTGGCCTGAAGTCAGCCGGTGAGTTTCATGGCCAAGCACAGACTAGAACTCAGATCTCCCAAGTCCCAATCCAACACTCTAAACCTGCATCACACTGGTTCTCATTTACACCAAACTAAGCAGACAAATATGATCATTCAGAAAATCTCCACCATTAAGACAAACAATGGACATGTGTGAGTCAAACCCTAGCCTAAATAATCAGTAACACAAGAGAGGAAAATTTTATTTCATGAAGACTGGAAGACTGGGGAAAGTTCTATTTTATTTTATTTAAATGTATTTATTATAGTTATATTCCACCTTTTTCCATTCAAAAAGGGTTTTTTAGAGCAGGGAAAATGTTGCCCTTAAGCATTAAAGAGAAAGAAGTCACTTTTTCACTTGGGCATTTGCACAGAAAAGCAGTAAAGGAAAAGCTCCTCATTAAGTGCTCAGATCTCAGTTTTACTACAAAACTAAAATTAGATACACTGTTTTAACCACCAAGTATGGGAAAACTCAATACCCCATTTTCCACACTCTAAAATAAACCAAGAAAGTGCTCTTGCAAAACTACAGGATCACAATGTCCTCTAAGGAACCATGAACAATTGTGCGTAAGGAATCCTGAGTGCTCATCAAATGCCTGTACAGAAAAGCTCTTAAAGGCACAATCCTGTGCAAGTTTAGGCAGGTGCTGGACACTGCAAGCCTTATTTCTGTCTAAACATGCACAGGATTGTGCCCTTAATTTGTTCGGAGAAATTGGGCAGTTTTCCTGGAGGATTTATCAATAGCTGTAGCAGCTCACAGAAATTCAGAAATTCCAGAAGAGTTGGCAAGAAGGTGCTGCATTGTGGCCGCCTGTCACTGACTCCCCATAAAAGGTACAAAGCTGAGGACATGCCAACCCCCACCACATCCATTCCCCCCCCCAATCAGGAAATCAAGGTCATGCAGCAAAAATATCCAGAGCTACAGACACAACCATGTGGGACATTTGGAGGGTGAGCAAGCTCCAGAACTCCCTTCCTGGCCCCACACATTCACGAGGGGACTGTCAGGGTACAGCTGCTGCACTGGCCAGCCTCCCAGGTAGCCTAATGGTGGGAAGGCATACGGAGAAAGGAGAGGCGGGCTGCACTGGGGCCACTTTCCTCAGGTGTGAGAGGAAGAGGTAAGAGAAAGCCAAGTGAGGGGTCTCTAAAGCGGTGGTGGGGAGGGGGAACCTGAATACTCAGCTTTGGAGAAATGGACCCCAAGCAAAGCCCTGAATATGAAGAGATGGGTAGACAGAAGGGTGTGAGCTGATCAGGTGTGTTGTCTCTGGCTTCAGGGAGAGGTTAGGCAATTACCATGTGAACAGCCTCTGGGGATGTTTACTGCTCTTCTCAGCCCCATTCCAGACCATGCTGAATAAAGGAAGGGCATGAATGGCTGGAGCAGAACAAAGGGCCTGGAACAGCATGGATTAGAGACTGGCCAAGCGTTAGGAACCAGCAGAGTGGGGAGGAGAGCACACAGGGGTCCTGCATCCAAGCGAGGAGGCAAGTGCGTCAGTTCAGGCCCCACCATAGGCCTTCAAAAAGCAGAGATGCTGTCCCTTTCACAGGATCCAAAAATGGACTCAGAAAGCAGCTGAGGAGGCTACAACGATGTGACAAACTGCAAAGGCAGACTTCCCTGTAACTCTAGACATGCTGGGCTATAGCAATGATGGCGAAACTTTTAAAGACCCTAACACTACCGTGGTGCCCACCCCTAACCCTAATACAGAGGTAAAATTCCATTGAAAAGAGGACGATTTTTGAAAAAGCTTACTTGAATAGCTTTTTCTGCACAGCTCATCTTTCTGCCCATTCTGAATGCATCGCAACCATCAAAATCATGCCAGGACACCTCATATTTCTAACCCTAACCCTAGCCGAGTACACACCACTAACCCGAAAACAGTGGTAAAGTTCCATTGAAAAGGGGGAGATTTTGAAAAAGCCTTCTTCAGTAGCTTTTTCTGCACAGCTCAACATTTCTGCCTTATCTAAAAAACGTTGAAACCAGCAACACCACACCAGGAAAACTCATTTTTCTAATACTAACCCTGCCCTGGTGCATTACCTCACCCTAAAATAGGGGTAATGTTCCATTGAAAAGAGTGCGATTTTGAAAAAGCCTCCCTTGACTAGCTTTTTCTGCATGGCTTATCATTTCTGCCCATTCTGAACACACTGCAATGATCAAAGCCATGCCAGGACACCTCGTTTTTCCAACCCTAACCCTATCCTGGTGCACTCCCTTAACCCTAATATAGGGATAAAGTTCCATTGAAAAGAGTGTGATTTTGAAAAAGCCTCCCCTGAGTAGCTTTTTCTGCACAGCTCATCATTTCTGCCCATTCTGAATGCATTTCAACCATCAAAATCATGCCAGGACCCCTTGTTTTTCTAACCCTAACCCGACTCTTTTGCACTCCCCTATCCCTAACATAGGGGTAAAGTTCCATTGAAAAGAGTGTGATTTTGAAAAAGCCTCCCCTGAGTAGCTTTTTCTGTACAGCTCCGCATTTCTGCCCATTCTGAATGCATTGCAACCATTAAAACCATGCCAGGACACCTCGTTTTTCTAACCCTAACCCTACCCAGGTGCACACCCCTAACCCTAATACGAGGTAAAATTTCATTTAAAAGAGGGCAATTTTGAAAAAGCCTCCCCTGAGTAGCATTTCATGCACAGCTCGACATTTCTGCCCATTCTGAACACATTTCAACCATCACAATCATGCCAGGACACCTCGTTCTAACCCTAACCCTACGCTAGTGCACTCCCCTAACCCTAATATAGGGGTAATGTTCCATTGAAAAGAAGGCGATTTTCAAAATGCTTATTTGAGCAGCTTTTTCTGCACAGCTCATCATTTCTGCTCATTCTGAATGCACTGCAACCATCAAAAACATGCCAGGACACCTTGCTTTTCTAACCCTATCCCTACCCCGGTGCACTCCCCTAACCCTAAGATAGGGGTAATGTTCCATTAAAAAGAGGGCAATTTTGAAAAAGCTTCCTTGCATAGCTTTTTCTGCACAGCTCATCTTTCTGCCCATTCTGAATGCACTGCAACCATCAAAATCATGCCAGGACACCTCGTTGTTCTAACCCTAACCCTACCCTGGTATACACCCCAACCCGAAAATAGTGGTAAACTTCCATTGAAAGGGGGCGATTTTGAAAAAACCTTCTTCAGTAGCTTTTTCTGCACAGCTCAACGTTTCCACCCTATCTAAACACATTGAAACCATCAATACCATACCAGGAAAACTCATTTTTCTAACACTAGCCCTGCCCTGGTGCATTACCTCACCCTAAAATAGGGGTAATGTTCCATTGAAAAAGTGCTATTTTGAAAAGGCCTCCCTTGAGTAGCTTTTCTGCACAGCTTGACATTTCTGCCCATTCTAAACACAATGCAACAATCAAAACCATACCAGGGCACCTTGTTTTTTTAACCCTAACCCTACGCTGGTGCACTCCCCTAACCCTAATATAGGGGTAATGTTCCATTGAAAAGAGGGTGGTTTTAAAATCCTTACTTGAGTAGCTTTTTCTGCACAGCTCATTATTTCTGCCCATTCTGAACACATTTCAACCATAAAAATCATGCCAGGACACCTCGTTTTTCTAACCCTATCCCTACCCTGGTGCACTCCCCTAACCCTAATATAGGGGTAATGTTCCATTGAAAAGAGGGTGGTTTTAAAATCCTTACTTGAGTAGCTTTTTCTGCACAGCTCATTATTTCTGCCCATTCTGAACACATTTCAACCATAAAAATCATGCCAGGACACCTCGTTTTTCTAACCCTATCCCTACCCTGGTGCACTCCCCTAACCCTAATACGGGGTAAAATTTCATTTAAAAGAGGGCAATTTTGAAAAAGCCTCCCTTGAGTAGCTTTTCCTGCACAGCTCAACATTTCTGCCCATTCTGAACAAAGATCAACCATCAAAATCATGCCAGGACACCTCGCTCTTCTAACGCTAACCCAACCCTGGTGCACTCCCTAACCCTAATATAGGGGTATCGTTCCAATCAAAAGAGTGTGATTTTGACTTTCAAGATGGTGTCAGAACGACACGGACGTGATTAATGGAGCTTCTGTTATCACACCGGTATTGCTCGGTAGTGAGTTGTGGGAGACTCATCTAAGCCCTGTAGGGGCGAAGACAGATTGCCTGGCATCTTTTCTTCTAGTTGGTGTAGGACAGCAATCCTATATCTACTGGAAGAGATTCAGGCATTTCTCAATTGGGCAATACAGGGGGTTTTCTTAGCCCCTGCCAGTTCTCGACATCTGATGGATTAATTAGCTTACTTTAGCCAGATAAGCATCAGACAGTTGGTAAGCATTCTTACTTCTTTTCGCAATATTACCCATGGAAAAGCTGTACTTGTTTATAATTGACTTAGAAGAAAGAGAAAGCCCTCTCGAAGTTTTTTAAGCGGCAACTGACCTACGAGAGAATGTGAAGACTCTTATCTGAATTGAAGCCGAAGAGAAAGATTTTTCTTCTAATCTCTCTAAGGGCAAAGGCAAAATGAAT